CCCTGTGACTCCCAGGTCCCGGATGGTGGGACGGCCTGCAGTTCCTCTAGCGCCCCAAGGTTGCTTTGTTTACCATCTTAGGAGGAAGAGGACTTTTGGTGGAGTGGGGGGTGGTCTCTGCCCCGGGAGCCTGCTGGGTCTGGAAAGCAGGAGGAGATGCTTCTTGTGGCCCGGGCTGTATCTACAACACTTTCAGGAACCAGGGGGAGCCTCACAGCAGAACCCCTCTGACCCAGGCAGAGGCCGAAGCTCCACCGAAGATCTCAACCCCCCAACCCCGGCTTCTGGCAGGGGGGCCTCCATGGCACTGGGGATCCCCAGGGTCCACCTGCCTGGGGTGGGAGCCAGCATCCGCCACCCCCAGAGTGTGTGGGCTCCCTGCCCATCTCCAGCGCAGTCTCTGTCTGCATGCTGCGTGCGCACCTGTGGGGAGGTTGGGAGCAAAGCACCTTTCAGACTCAGGCAGGAACCAGCCCTCACGGGCTGCAAGCCCCTTGGACTCCAGGGGCTCCAAGTGTGTGACCGTCCGGGTCTGGGAGGTGACGACAGTTCTCCTCACTGTCACGGTGACTCAAGTCAGTCTTGAGCCGCCAGGCCCAGTGTGTGTTTATGGCTTGATCTGCAGAGATCAAGATGGGAACTTAGTGGGATGTCCGTGACCCCAGACCTAGGGACACCGGGATCAGTGAGTCAACCCGAACATCTCCTGGGCTCTCCTCCTCCAGAGTCCCCTTCATCCGGCCCGGGTTCGGGGGAGGCAGCTCCTGTTCTTAGTGGCCAACACAGAGCTTTTCAAGAAACACCCCCTGTGCCGGAGACCCCCCATCCTCCCAGGGTCGGTGCGGGAGTGTCCCCGGAGACCCCCGAGTCCCCTGATGCAGAGGGGTGGGGATGGGTCCTCAGTGCGGGGTGCATCCCACGGAGGGTTGGCTGGAGTCTGTCATCACCAGAAGACAGGGAGTGTCTTCATGGCATTTCACGATTTAGAATTACGTGTTTATCAGCGAGGTCGCCTGTGTCACACGCACGTCCATCACCTACTGCGGTGAGGAGCGGGTGCCGACAGTCACGTTTATAGAGTCTGTGTTTCCAGGGCCCCAGGCGCAGTAGGGGTTTCAGTAAGCCGTCCCCGAATGAATAAATGAATGCATGATCCGTTGAAGTAAATGACAGTGTTTATCCTGCTGGAGAGAGAACCCACAGAGGAAAGCATTTCCGTTCGACCAGAGTCTTACGGATGCTGTAGGACGTTTCACGGATGGGTCGTCTCCCATCACACGATACCCAGCATGGCTTTCCCACAGAATGGGGTGTTCAAATCGTAGGTTTTATCATTGCCCAGTATGGGTTGGGGGGACGGGGCTGATCAGGAGGTAAGTCTGTCACAGTCCCCGTTCCCCGTAAGGCCACACCACATCAGGCCAGGCCAGGCCTCGCAGGGAAGCACCCGGGGCCAGTCAGGAGGCAGAGGGAGGGGGAGATGAGGACAAGAGCCTTGATATATTGCAGTTTTCCAGGAAGGAAAGGGCGAGGCTGGGCAAGCTGGTTTAGGTTGGGCTGGTCTGAGTAACCTCAGCAGACTCAGGAACCAGGGGCGGTACCTGGCCCGGGGGATGGGGGGGGGGGGAGGTGACTAGGTCAGGAGATAGTGGTCCCTTTGATAAGAACCTCATCAAGGAGGTGGCTGGGATGTGGACTCCGGACAGGTCGCTTCACACATGAAAGCGGTGTTTGCAGGCGATGTCTCGAGGAACTGGGTGGTCCTGGAAAGGGCCGTGCCTCCAGGGTCCGCAAGGCCCCAGGTGTCAAAGTGTCAGAACAAGGTGATGCACCAATGCTCTGCCCTCTGCCTGGGCTGTCCCAGGCCAGACCGACTTCTCCGTGTCCAGGACCAGCCCCCCAGGCCTGGAGGTGAGTCCACCTGACCCACTTCATCATCCCTACCGTGCCTCCTGCTCAGTTTTCTGGCTAACTGGTCCCTGAAAAGATAGCCATTTTTAACAGCATCATAAAATTGATGAAGCCCCCATCATAAAAGTTTCTGGGTCACAGACAGCAGCTCACGTTTTCCCTGCCTCCCCTTAAAGAGCCGGGCTCCTGATACATGCCTATCAGGGCTTTGTGTCGCCTGCCCCCAAAATTATAACTGGAGGGATGACTATCCCCAAATCTGTCTCCGTGGTTGTAGAAAGCAAAACCAAGAACTCCAGTGTCCCTTCTGCTGGGTTTCAAAAGAAATGAAAGAGGCACTTCATTCTCGTTTGCAAGCCCGCCAGGACGTGACCCACGTGCAAGCTGGAGGTTAAAGCATCAATTAAAGTCGGTTCTAGCGAAGCTTAACCGGGTCCCTTGCCAAGCAGAACCACCCGCTGTTGGACTGGGAATGGTGGGCAGAGGACCGCCCTGGTGGGCAGCTTGGAGGGCACTGCGGCCAGCTGAGAGCATGCGCACCATCATTCTCCTGTTGCCTAAGGGGGCCTGGAGAAGCAAGCCTACCTGACTCAGGGTGGTTGCTTCATTCTAGCAAAGGAAGGGTGCCCATTATCAGGGGCACGAACAGCCAACACCCACCCCAGCTCCAGGCAGAGGAGAGTGGGGGGTGAAGGAGGCCCCCCGGGTCACCTGGTCCTTGACCTCTGAAAGGTGGGTCCAGGGACTTCACTGGTGGTCCAGTGGTTTAGACGCCACATTTCCAATGCAGGGGGCGTGGGTTCAATCCCTGGTCAGGAAACTAGGACTCCGTATGCTGCATGGCCCGGCCAAAAAAAAAAAAGTCCTGAAAGGTTGGGCCCTGGTGGGTGATAACTTGAGTCCCCAAGTCACACACAGACACAGGCCACCCCTCATTGGTGACCCAAGCATCCTGCAGAGCCCAAGCCGACACCTTATTCTTGCCGCTCTGGCCAAGCTCTGTTCCCCTGGGTTCCACGTCAGGCGGCAGGCTGGCCAGCCCCTCGGGGCTCCTCCGTCTGGCCGCCATCAGCCCTCAGTGGGTTGTGCACACCCAGTGGCCTTTCTGCCCCTGGCCGAGGTCAGGGCACCACACACGCCTGCCCGCGTGTCACGACTCCCTCTCCTCCCACTGGCAGTGGTCCTTCTAAAACCAGAAACCTGGCCATCCCTGCACTCCATGCCCCAAACACACACACCAAAAGCCTTGACTACTCTCCACAGAGGCCCCGCCCCAACCCCCCATGTGCAGACAGGAGGCCCACGGGATCCTGCCCACTCTCTGGACCTGCTCTCACCCGCCACCACGGTCTCCTGTGGTGCCCTTCTCCCCCTGCTGAACTCCTATTTAAACACCACGACCCAGCTCAAATACCCACCCTGCAAAAGTGAAAGTCACTCAGTCGTGTCCAACTCTTTGTGACAACTCTTTTCTCCAGGTCAGAATACTGGAGTGGGGTAGCATATCCCTTCTCCAGGGGATCTTCCTAACCCAGGGATCAAACCCAGGTCTCCTGCATTGCAAGCGGATTCTTTACCAGCTGAGCTGCAACGGAAGCCCTGCAAACCCCACCACCAAAAGCAGCAGACTCAAAGGCCGCTGCACCTTCTCCTGTGGTTCTGGAACCTTCCATACAGTGGACATGTCTGTCTCCCTGGCTGGAGCAGGCGCCCTGAGAACAGAGTCACTTCCCATCGGCCCTGTTTCTGGCACCGGGCACAGAGCTGCACTCAGAAGGGACACAGATGCTCCCTGAACCGGGTATTTGGGTCCTTGGGCTAAAAGCTACTAAAAGCACTATGCTTCTTTCATGAAAGAAGACTTTTGCCAGAGAAATAAAACACGTGCCCCACCTTGATCCCTCCTTATACCCCCTCTCAACGCGGCCAGCAACATGAAAGCGTTAGTCTCACTCATGTCCAACTCTTCGCGACCCCAGGGACTGTAGCCTACCAGGCTCCTCTGTCCATGGGGATTCTCCAGGCAAGAATACTGGAGTGGGTTGCCATGTCCTTCTCCGGGGGATCTTCCCGACCCAGGGATCGAACATGGGTCTTCTGCATTGCAGGCAGTTTCTTTACCATCCCAGCCACCAGGGAAGCCCTGGCAAGCTAAACGCCTTGTTGGCAAAACACCATCCACTGGAAAGTCCTTCCCGTCTGCCCACAAACCCGCTCAGTCAAGACACGGAGGCTGGATTGGGAGAGTCGAGTTTATTAGCAATACACAAAGATGGCACGCCCAGGGGCGCCAGTCTGTGGGCTACACCGTGAAAACTGTAGAAAATCCATAGCGAAGCAGAAAAGTCAAGTGAAGCTACTACAAAATCGGGCAAATGGACTGAAAATGAGTATTTCCAATGCGAGTCTCTTCTGATAAATTTTTTTTTTTACTTTATGAATTAAATACATGGTGAAACAGTGAAAATATATTTACAGTTATTTAAAATGGACATTGCCAACATATTTAATTAAAAAAACCTTTCCCATTTCTTGCCTGTTTCAAAGAGAATTTTAAATATGACTTTAGCTTTTAAAAAATACAATAAGGAAATAATTACATTCTTAATATGAAAACATTTTACAACTCACAGCCATGGTCAATTTATGCTGAAAACGTATAATTTAAAAGTTGATGCTAAAGTGTAAAGTAGTGTTTCTTTTCTTTTTAGAAAAAAAAAATCAAAGAGTATCTTATTAAAAACACCTTTGGTCCCTAAGAAACATGATCTGATGATTCCATCTGGAGAGTTTCTTCCATGGCAACAAATAGAAACACCTGGTGATACTTGTCCGCTGTCAAGCTGGGTTTATCTGGAAGGACAGAACTGGATTACTTCACAAAAGATGGGGTGCATGTGAGGCCAACATTCCCTGGGCGTGAAGCTCTCTCGTCTTCATCAAGCACACACACAGGACAGGCAGTCCTGCTAGGGCTCGGGGACCACCAAGAGGCTGCTTCTTTTTCTGGGATGCTGAGCTGTGTGTAATATGCGTGTGTGTGTGTTGGGGGGTGGTTGTGGACATAAAAATGTTAATTTATTTCTAGTTTATTTCACAGTATCAACCCAGTCCCTTATGGGGATAATAATAAGACAGTAAGGATACCAAGAACAACAAAATACCCTCTTTAAAACTATGCCATGGTCTGAAATTATTATTTCCATTAAAAAACTTAATTTAGGGAAAAAAAGAGGAAGGCAATAGTTTAATACTGAAGTGTTGCTGAGCGGAGGTGGAGACGCCCGGGTGTCCTGCTGGCTCCTAGAGGAGGCGTCGCTGGGTGGAGCTGGGTAGAGCGGCCGGGCCGGGACACAGACACGCGGGGGAGGCCCTGCCCGAGTGCCCGTCCCTGGGTCAGGCCGAGAAGACTCTAGTCCCAGGACAGACGCTGGTGAAGAATCAGAGAAGGCTGCCCGTGGGCACGATTTACATTTCCTTCCAAACACGGTGCTGACACTCATTCTTCGGGAAAGGCTGGGGCCTCAGACAGCAGCGTTCTGTCCACAACCCTCAGGCCCAGCCCAGCTCCAGCCCTGCGCCCTCCCCTGGGCAGCACAAACCCAGCACCGCTGTCTCAGTGAACAGGAACCGAAACCCCTTGCTGGGGGGCCGGCCTCCAGGGCCAGGACACACACCTTTTACTTTCGGTGACAGACGTTTCCAAGTGGGCACGTCTCCAGCCCATCAGGGTGATCCTGGGTTTTCATGAAAACACCCCAAACTAGCTTAGGGACTGGGGAGATGGACAAGGGGATGGTCCAGCTGGACAAAGCCAAGGTGTGCGAACCGAGGGGCCAGGACTGGTTCTACACGACCCCAGGAGAAGAGCCTGGGGAGACGCATGTGCAGGTGCCCCGGCCCCGCCGGGCTCTTGCAGACGGCTGTCTGGAGGCGGGGGCGCTGCTGGCTCCTGGGACACACAGACTGGCCCTGCTTGACCCTCGGGGGCTGGGGGGGTGGTCATCTCCACCTCCTGAGCCCACGTCGAGGGTGACATGGCATGCGCTCTGACCACGTCTGTGCAAAAAGTTGGTGAATGAATGAAAAACACTATAAAAATGTAATATGGGCTACCCACTCCAGTAATCTTGGGCTTCCCCGGTAGCTCAGCTGGTAAAGAATCCGCCTGTAATGCGGGAAACCTGGGTTCCATCCCTGGGTCGGGAAGATCTCCTGGAGAAGGGAAAGGCTACCCCACTCCAGTATTCTGGCCTGGAGAATCCCATGGACTATATAGTCCATGGGCTGGCAAAGAGTCGGACACAACTGAGCGACTTTCACTTCACTTCATAAAAATGTGAAAATGAGGGGATTTTCAAGATTGATGACCCCTTGCCAAAACAGAGCCAGGAGCAGAAGCCCCTGAGAGGCTGACGGTCGCCCCGTGCTAAGGGAAGGGCCTTGAGACGCCGGGAGGGGACCGTCTCACGCCAGGGCTCTGGTCTGGCCACCACGTTCATCTCATTTCAGTCAGGATCCCATTTGGCCAGCACTCTGTGACCACGACCGTCTGTCGGAGGGATGGGGACAGGGCCCAAGGATCCACTTCTCCCAGGGGAGGGGCCTGCACCCCGGAGCAGGGGTCCCGGCCGGCTGCCTCTCCCCCGAGCCTGGCTCCGGCACTGCTGCCTCCTGGCCTACCCCACCCCAGGGCGAGGGGGCAGCCTCCTGGGGCATGTTTCGGGCGGGCTACAGAGATCGCTGTCGCTGCCAGGATTCTTACAGGATGTCCACGGTGTGTCTAATATGTACAGATATAAATTAAAAACTATACTTACTGAACATATACAAATAAATAACTTATTTTGAAGCAAACGCTTTAACTTTCTGATCGAATCTGAGACGTCGAGGGGAATCACACGACATCGCAGAGCCCAATGCCGGCAGCCTCGACCCCCGCGGGGCCTGTTGTACGTGGCTTCGGGGAACGAGACAGGATCGACTCCTCCGTTCTCTTTAAAAGGCTTATGGTTGTGAAGTGAATTTAGAAACGTGGGCTTTTTAGACAGGAAACACGTACACCGGGAGTCTGAAGACCAGGGCCCAAATCCTGGTTCCATCCTCAGCTTCGGTCCACAGAGATAGCCGCAGCGACCTCTGCCCACCTGTGCCGGCTACGGTCACGTGGTCCCTTCCCAGTGACAATCGAGGCCTGGCCGCATCTTAGACAAAGCTGGCTACCAATCAGAGCAGTTGGAGAGCCACACCTGGAGAGCATTCGTTTGACCGCAAGGCAGTGAGACTCTATAGCGGATCACAGTTTTCTCCCTTACGGAAAATCAGCTTCATGTGATGTCAAGTGGCCCAGCCTCCTACGTGGGTGGGAGGCCAGGGCAAACAGAACTGGGAAGACGAGCTCCCCACTTCCTACCTGCACTTCCTGGGGTCAGGGTCATAGGTGTGGGTGAGACGCACCCCCCACCTGTTGCATCAACTACGGAGGGCGAACCTGAGCGCTGGACACCAGGCGGCAGCTTGCAGACCAGACAGCCGGCTTTGCGAGAAAGCCAGGCTTTTCAGGTGGGCTCCGGGTAAGCAGGCTTCCCTGGTGGCTCAGAGGGTAAAAAGTCTGCCCGCAATGCGGGAGACCCAGGTTCGATCCCTGGGTTGGGAAGATCCCCCAGAGAAGGGAATGGCAACCCATTCCAGTACTCTTGCCTGTAAAATCCCGTGGACAGAGGAGCCTGGTGGGCTGCAGTCCATGAGGTCGCAGAGTCAGACACGACTGAGCGACTTCACATGGTCCACGCAGACAGCTTCTGGTTCTGCTGCGAAGTTCCTGGCACCAAGCCCACCACCCTGCTCTGGTTGGTAGAGCCAGCCACGGCCCGTGCTGGCCTCGGGGGCCACTCTGACCCTGCTGGCGATAGCCACCCCGACCGGTGTGGTCTGCAGAAAATGTGAGCAACAAGACGTGGTCACAGGAAGCTGCCTGCTCGCTTCCTGCTCCTGTATCTGATGAGAAACACTCGCAGGGCAGCGGGCGCCAGGCCTGCTCCGACAGCGGCGGGCAGAGGGCCCATCCACGTGTGTGACTGGTCCTTCGGTCAGCGTGCAGGGGGCTCCGGGGTGACTGATGGCTGTGCTGGGCGTGGCCGCGCTTCCCACAGGGAGTATTCCTGAGAGGTCCCTCTGCAGACGGAGGGCTGGCCTGGCCCTCAGACCCAGATGGCCTCTGCCTGTGGACGGGCCTGTCCCCATCACGTCTCAGGCTCCAGAAACATCCCGCAGGAGGCCGCAGGGACACTCCAAGAGGCCCTGCCCTGGCAGTCAGGCCCCTGGGGAATGAATGTGACCATCACCCCGAGGCCACCCAGGGCTGAGACCACCCCGCCGGCTCTGAGGGGGTCGGAGGGGGTGTGGATGCTGGAAAAAGCAGGAAAGGACACACACAACGTGAAGCACTGAAAACCCTCTGCTGCCTTTCCCAAGTGGGACAAATCCTCAATGTGATCCAGAAGAACTGGAAAACCCTGGGAGCTAAGTGCAACCCAGGATAAAGAGAGGACACTTTCTTAAGGTCTATAGAAGAGTGGCAGCTTTTCATGTCCTGGTGACAAAAGCATCTGTTCAGAAAATGTTTGTAAAAACAGAAACTGCTTCACAGCGTAGCTCTGTGGTGACTTTACCGGGCATGGGGGAGGCGCTGGTGAGACTCGGGGGTTGGGTGGGGCATCCCCGGGGCGCCCGGCAGAGCAGCGGGCAGCTGGAGGCCCACACCTCACCCAGCATGCAGAGGGTGTCCGCGTCGAGGTCCCTGCGGGTCTTCGGTCTGGGGGGTACAGGCATGGGTGGAAGCCGCCATCTACCTGGGCGGGAAGCTATGGCTTCTTCATCCACTGACAGGGGCAGGGAGAGGCTCCCTGCCTTCTGCCCCTTGCCGTCTTTTCACAAATGAAGTTGGAAGCCAAAGCGTTACAAGTAAATCTCTTTAAAGGAACCATTATACAGTAGAGAGGATGCGCGCGGCGGGCCTGGGTCCCGGCACGGAGCGCAGTCGTGGGACGGTCACTCGACGCTGCGAGAGCCGGGCGTCCTCCGGCTCTATGTCCCGTTCTTCAGCTCCCACTCCTGCCAAGCGAGGTGAGAGGGGGCATGTACAGGTCCACAGGCCACGCCTGGGGCGGGGGCAGGCCAGGCCACCTCCCACACATGCCAGGGCCCAGACAAGGAGGAGGCGGCTGCCCAGAGCCAGGCGTCGGGGCCCATCAGCCCTGCTCACACTGGGAAACCCCGAGACGGGGGGCCTGCCACTCCCCAGCTTTCGGGAGCACACCCTCCCACACCCTGAGCAGCCCTCTTCCGGAGTCGGGCATTACCCTAGGAACAGTGCCTGGGATGATGGTTCTCAATGAGAACCCAGGATGAGTCAGAGGAGTCCCCGGGAAGAAAGGTTGCAGTGGGAGCAGAGACCACATGTGCGATGCACTCACAGGTAGGTGGACACTCCCAGGGGCCGGGCCAGGCCACCACCCCTTTTCTCCAGCCGTGGCTCCCTGTCACTATACTCGGGAGTCCTGGGAAACCCCGCTCAACCCCAGTCTGTCAGGGAGGCCCTGGGCTGGTCTGAGTGGCCAGCTGTGCATCCACTGTGGCCAGAACCACACAGTTTACATTTATCAGAGGGGGACGCGCAGAGCACGCGCCTCTGCATGGCCAGGGCAGGCCCTCGAGACAGAGCCTTCCAGAGGCTGCGGTTACAGAACTGTAAACTGGTTTCTTTAACAGTAAAGAAAAAAAGGGAATATTGTTATTGCATTTCCCTTCTGCAAATAATTAGAGGGACTTTATGGGACAGCTTGATTTTAAATAGCTTTCAAGCAAAACATATTCCTCTGCAAACTAAGAATACTTAATGGATGCTAATGAAAGATGGAAGGTGGGAGGAGAAGGGGATGACAGAGGAGGAGAAGGGGATGACAGAGGAGGAGATGGATGGATGGCATCACTGACTCGATAGACGTGAGTGTGAGTAAGCTCTGAGAGTTGGTGATGGACAGGGAGGCCTGGCGTGCTGTGATTCATGGGGTCGCAAAGAGTCGGACACGACTGAGGGACTGAACTGAAGTAAAGTAACCAATGGCGCACAATCGTCCTTTTCCCCAAATTTACCAACACACACAGGCTCAGTCAAACGCATGTGCTGTGAAGGCAGACACCGCAGATGCTATTTATAGCCGCCACCGTCAGGGACCCGCCCATGAACACGGCAGCGTGTGGCCAGCGCTTTACTCCTGATCTGATCGAACACCAGGTCCACTTTCCAGAAAACAGTACCTCCCCAGCCAACCTGCACTGGGCTCCAAAACCGCCAGAGAACAAGGGTAACGGCAGCATACAGAGGGTCCCAGAGGGAGAGCGGGGAGGGCGGCCGGCCCCCACGCTCGTCAGGACAAGTGAAACTCCTCTGGATGAAGTAGGGTGAGTGGACCAAGTAGGATGCTCCCACAGCACACACGGCCAGCTACACCATCCAAAACTGCTTCCTTTGAAAATCTATAGCTTTTTTTTTCTTTAATTTTCTGAGATTTTAAGTTTGGCATCAAAATTTTTCAGTGGGCAGTGCCAGCTAAAGACTGAAAGGCACGCCGGGATGGCCCCGCGGGCACAGGTTTATGGGATGAGGGTGGGGAGGCCAGGGGAGGGGTTGGAGAAGAGTTCACGCCTCGCCTTTTTACTTTTTTTTAAAAGGATCCCGTTGGTCACCTGGCCAATCTCTGTTTTATCAATGAAGACACAAGTCAGAAGAAGCCAGGAGACAGAACCAGAGCTGCAGGCTTTCCTGACAACAGATGGTGCGGGCCTAGAGACCAGATCTTCGCTGTTTCTGACTCTGGAAGGATGGCTTCCTGAAGGAGGGTCTGACTTTAGGAAAGAACTGGGTGGGTACTTGTGGAACAGTATCTACATATAGGGACTTCCCTGGTGGTTCAGACAGTAAAGCATCTGCCTACAACACGGGAGATATACAGAAGCCGTAGAACCGGATCAGGGGGCCATGCTTAGCTCCTCAGCTGGCCCACCGTCCCCAGCAAACTCTGCGCTGAAGTGCCCCCACCCCTCCTGCCTGCATCGGCGCTGGAGGCACCGCTGCCCCCCCCCAGGATACCCGCTCCCCTTCAGCACTGCCGCTCCGCCAGCGGGCAGGGCGGGCGCTCACCTTGGCCTTCCGCAGCACGTGGCCCCGGCACGGGGAGTTGCCGGAGGCCGGCTGGCTCTTCTTCAGGACGGCCGCACTGTTCACGGGCACCGGGCCCTCTGCGTCGCTGGTCTCACAGCTGGACATGGGCGAGTTCTCCAGAGTCCGATGCCTGAAAACTGGAGACTGTTAACAGAAAGAGGAGGCGCTGGGTGAGGTGTGGGTTCCAGGTCAGCTGTGTTTTCCATGAGGAAAATGTTTAATGAAGAAAACGGGCTTGGGAAATAGGCAAACATGACAACCGAAGAATGGATGCTCTCGTGCGGTGGTGCTGGAGAACTCTTGAGAGTCTTTTGGGACTGCAAAGAGCTCAGTGCAGTCAATCCTAAAGGAAATCAACCCTGGACATTTACTGGAAGGACTGATGCTGCAGCTGCAGGGTGCGGCTCCAGGCAGTGGCCACGGGCCAATCCGCAGGCTAACTGGCCGCGAACAGCGCGGTCTCCGCGGGTCAGAGCAAGTCCTGAGACAGAGCAGGGTGGATCCGTGGTCACCCGGGCCCCGGTGAGATCGCAAACTGCTCCTGTAATTTGCTGTCCTTCCCCAAACGAGGCCTCGAGGACTGAGCGCCCTGTGCTCATTGCGTCACGTGTGATGTGAACACAGGAGAGATCTCACAGAACGCCGTTTTAGGAGAACAGGGCTTCAGTGACCATTCCGAGGGTAGCTGAGAACCCTGGGGGCTGCAGCCAGCTCGCCCCACGTTTCCCTTCACTTGGAAAGGCCTTCCAAGGCCACTCTGGCTGAGGGGTGGGGGTGGAGAGGAGGGAAGCGCTCTGTCCACCCCCCGGGAAGCCGAGCTGAGCTCTGAGGGGGGCAGCCCGTGCCCTCCCCCGGGACAGGAGCGCCTCATGGCAGCGCTGTTCCCAGGCTGGATCGAGGTGGGGACAAGGCAGAGAGCCTCTGGGACCCCAGGAGGGGCCCTCCAGGGAGAGGAGCAGACCTGAGGCAGGGTACAGGGAAGGAGAGCTGACAAGAGGGGCCTGAGTGGGAGACCCTCGAGAGGAAGGGAGGGCCCCGGGTCACCCCAGAGCAGCGATCAGTGCCCGGAGACACGACATCAGACGGGAAAAACCTGAACGAGCTTTCTGACCAACCCAAAATATACTCAGATTTTGCCAAAGGGAAGAAAACAGACTCGGGGTTTCCACCACCTTTGAAAAAAAGTTCAGTGAGACAGAGAAAAAAAATTCAGGGTCTGTGACCTTGAGACACGGCCAAGGAAAGCATTTTGGGTGGACACGCGAGCTGTGTCTTGGCGAGGCTGGTGCTGGGGGACGGGGATGAGTCTCGACCTGGGAGAGCGCGCCCCGTCCCTCTCCCGGGGAGCGGGCGGACTGTACCTGCGGGCTGGACGTCCCTGAGCGGGGCTCGATGGCCAGCCCAAGGGTGATGCCGCCAGCCAGCGCCTTCTTGAGGCTCTCCTTGACCTCCGTCAGCTCCAGCTCCAGGTTGACGCGCTCCGTTTCCTTCTGCTTACACTCCTCCTCCAGCCTCTTCAGCTTCTCCTCCAGGACCACCTGGGTCTTCCTGCCTGAAATCCCAGAGGAACACTACTGCTCCAGCTGAAGGCAAATACTTCCAAGCATCCGAGGACAGACGTTCGGGGCGGCCTGGGAGGTGCTCGGCCCAACCCTGGGGGTCTTGCTCCCTGCAACTAGAATCCGTCCCACCAAACTCCAATCCTGTGGTTCCTGAAAGGAGCAGGGTTCCCTCCCAGCTGCCCTGCTTCATGCAGCTGGGAGAATATGGACCGGGAAGCAGAAGACCCTGATCCTCACAAATGTCAGGAGTTTGGGGTCTGGGCCTCAACACCCTCATTTTAAAATGAGCAATTTGGACTAGGTGGCTTCCAAAGCTGCTGCTGTCTTAAAACAACTGAATATTTTCCTGTTCTCATTTTTTTCTACTCGAGTCATCTTATTTGTCCCCGTGATCAAAATATAATACAGCTCACATCTCCATAGAACACGGCACATTTGCTTTATTTATCTTATCTGAAATGTGTCACAGTGACACAGGAAGGCAGCAATGTGCCCACTGGACAGATAAGGAAACTGATCCTGAGGGCTAACTGACCAGTGGGCCTGGCCCCAGCCTGGTGCCTGGCAGCACATGGGAGTTCTCTTTTTCCAGGCCTGAAGCTGGTCTAATCTGTCTGCATCTTCACTACCCTGCCAACTGGAAACACGGAGGGGAGCACTCTCCTCCCGTCCTGCTGACCTGGGGGCTCCCATCTAGGTCTCTGCCCGAGCCTCTGATCCCCTTTCCCTGTCCCTGGCTGGGGGGGTGCTCACGGGAGATGCCACCTCCTGCCGGCTGTCTCGGACCAGCGCACACCCGCCTCCCATCATTCACACTTCGAAAGGGCTTTCCTTCTTAAAAAATCACCTAGGCACAGAGTCGGGGATGGCTGGAGCTGCCGGATAACGGCTGCACATCCACCAGCTCCTCCGGCGCAGACGCCGATGGAAAGCAGGAGCTTCCTTCCCGAACCGTCCTACTCTCTGGGTCCCTCTTCCTCACCCCTACCCCCGACCTAAGGCCAAAGGATCACAATCGACAGAGTCATCCTCGCCCCAGAGTCAGACTCAGCCCTGAGTGACGCAGAGAGATGTTTTTTGCAGCGCCAACCCCAGAGCCAGGCACTGCTCGCCCAGCTCCCCCAGGGAGAAGGCTTGACCTACAGGAGGCCTGGCAGACAGTCCTGACCTAGAGACAGACGGGCTGTGGTCCGCACCAGGGTCCCCTCCTCCCCCCACTTCTGGTGTTGCTCCTGTCCCCCTGGGCTCTTCCCAGACCCCATCCACTAGTCCGCAATCACCCCACTCTCGCTGGTCCCTCCGCAGGGAAAGGGGGGCTCCTTCCAGCCCCACGGGGGACCTCCCACCTGGGCTTCTGCGGATGACGCATCCTCCCCATGAGACCTCCATCTGGCCAGGGGCCAGAGATCCGGAGCCCTGGGGCTCGTGCTCCCGACCACCCGGCCGTCAGCACCCGAGGCTGGGACAGCTCCCGGCACCCACCCGGGCCCCAGCCGGGGGGCCTCCTCGTGCCAGGTCCTTACTCCACACCGAGGCCCCCGCCCTGGGGTTCCAGCAAGGCTTCCAAACTGCGAGAAGCACCGGGTGGAAGCAGAGAGCCGGTGAGGCTCAGCCCCCCGCAGAGGCGCTGGCCCCGCGGGAGGGGCCCGCGTACCGCTGTTCACGTCGATGGCGGCCCTCAGCCCCTTCCTCTCCTTGCGCAGCTGGGCCAGCCTGTCGCGGAGGCCCTCCCGCCTCTTCAGCAGCTCCTCCTCCTTGGCCTGCAGCCGCTTGGCGTCTGCTTCCACCCGGTTCTTGCCATATTTGTACTGGTCAGCATCTGTCAAAAAAGAAAGCATCGGTAGGAAATTAAGTTTAACCAAGCAGATGATGGGCTAATTCATAAAGCCTGTTTAATCCGCCAACTCCACTTTGCTAATCCAATGAGGAAAAAGAACAGGACAAGTTTGAACCAAGCAGAAAAGTGACTGGTTCCGATGATCTGATATTCTTTGAAAGGAATTTCAAAGATGAAAACAGAATGTTCAGTTCAATGCAGTCACTCAGTCATGTCGAACTCTTTACAACCCCAGGGACAGTATGAAAAGGCAAAAAAAAAAAAATAGAATATTAGGAAATTTCTTTAACTCCTCCCATTGAGGCAGGATGCCATGTATACTCTTCAGTAAGGTCGAGAGTGAATAAAACATTCTACAATCCAAGAAGAGGGGTCTATCCGTGCCAGGAATAATCTCGATGCGTGCAGTCCTCTTGCCATCATGTCTGACCCTTACAACGGTGCTGTGGACTCTCTTGCTGACTCTGACGGCAGCTATGCCCCCTCCACGGGTGGCGGGGTGGCCCCTGGTGTGCACAGAGCTCACACCAGGACCCTGCGGAGTCAGGGGACACGTGAGAAAGTGGAGGGGCGCCCAGGGCCGCGTCTGGAGCCCCACTGCCTGGGCAGGGGTCCCAGTGTGCCTCCCGCACTGTGTGGCCTCCAACAAGGCTCCGCGTTGCTCTGTGCCTCGTGTCCTCACCTGCGCAACGGGGGGAACGAGAGCAGGCAGTTCACAGGGTGGTTGTTTATAGTCGCCCCGTCGTGTCTGACTCTACGACCCCATGGACTGTAGCCCGCCAGGCTTCTTGGGTCCATGGGAATCTCCATGCAAGAATACTGGAGTGGGTTGCCATTTCCTCCTCCAGGGGATCTGCCTGACCCAGGGATGGAATCGGAGTCTCCTATGTCTGCTGCCTTGTGAGGTGGATTCTTTACTGCTGAACCACCAGGGACTCCCTCACAGGGTTGTTGTGAGGGTTAAATTAACACTCATCAGAACTCTGAGCAAGCACAGAATGAGCACTAGGTAAATGCTCATTAAACATAGAGCGTGGATAAATGAACAAAGAGGAAGCTAGCCTTAAGGACAATTGAGGGGTTTGGCCAACATCACACCACTAGCTAACATTGCGTTAAACCCTGAGCCTGTGCTCTTATCCTCTAATTGTGCTGGCCTTTCCAGGATAATCAGGGCTCACAATTTCGTGAGAAGACTCTTAAGATTCCCTCGGACAGCAAGGAGATCAAACCAGTCAATCCTGAAGGAACTCAGTCCTGAATGTTCACTGGAAGGACTGATGCTGAAGCTGACACTCCAATACTGTGGCCACCTGATGTGAAGGGCCAACTCACTGGAAAAGACCCTGATGCTGGAAAAGATTGAAGGCAGAAGAAAGGGGCTACAGAGGATGAGGTGGTTGGGTGGCATCACCAACTTGATGGACATGAGTTTCAGCAATCCAGGAGATGGTGAAGCCTGGTGTGCTGCAGTCCATGGGGTCACAGAGTTGAACGTGGCTGAGTGATGGAACAATAATTCTGTAGCTCCTATGGTCTCCCGATGCCCCTGAAGCTAACTGCTCACACCTGACCACGACTCAAGGCCTTCTGCACCACTGCCCTTGGGAGCTCACATCCCATGAGACACCACAGTGGTTTATTTGCATGTCTGACACTGTTACTAGATTGGAAATGACTTCTGGGGAGAAGCCGTGGTGGGGAGAGGGGGTCATGGTCAATCATGAAGGCAGCAAACCAGGAAAGAGGCCATGGCTGTGGGCCAGCAATTAATCTCCTGGAGCCTCAGCGTCATCCCCCAGGAAGCAGAAGTGCTAAATCCCACCTTGTGGGCTGAAAAAAACACAGTCGATGCCTGTGCTAAAACCCGTCCCTCTGACGGGACTGCATGATGCCCTGGCCGTGTGGACACTCCCTGGCAGCTCTCATCCCAGTCAGCGATAACGGAGCCCCTGGAGCCCTGTCCACCCTCCCAGCCAACAGTGAACCTTTTCCAGCCACTTCTAGCGCCTCTCCTAAACCCAGGATTCATCAGTTCTTGCAAGGCAAACCACGGTGACTGCATGAAACTGCATTTGCAGAAGCAGGTACACAGCCATCAATCTTCCCCTCACTAACTGCCCCCCCGCCCCACAAAGAAAGCTATTAAAAGGACCACAGCATGAGAGTGACCACATCAACAACCTGAAACGCAAGGGACTCCCCTGGAGGTCCAGTGGTGAAGGCGGTTTCACCTTCCAATGTAGGGGGGCCCTTCAATCCCTGGCTGGGGAGCAAAGATCTCACGTATCTCAGGGTCAGAAAACCACAACATAAAACAGAAGCGATATTGTAAGGAACTCAATATACACTTTAAAATGGCCCACATCAAACAGAAAAATCTTAAAAAGGCTTGAAAGAAAAGCACTGCTCTCGGGGGCGTGGATACCGCGTATTCTACAAATAGAGCGCAGTCCAAACTTGGCCTGCTCGTTTCCAATCTAAGCTGTTTCCTGACAAAGCTGTGTACAGTCGCCTACCGCCTCCCGCATCATTTGGTCCCCGTGAAATAAACGCCATCCGGGATGCCACGCAACAGGGTGAACGCGACAAAAACAGAGACTGCAATTTCTCTTTTTTCATCACTGGATGTCACCAAAGGTAGCAAGGATTCCCTACCGAAGGCCTCATGAAATACGGAGAGCAGTCATCTAGGAAACACAAGAGGAACAGGTGCCGAGAGACGACAGGGGCAGGCTTCCTGTGGCCCAGGCCCCGCAGCACACGGGACTGCAGACACGGCCCTCTGTCCTGCCTGCCGCTGCCCAGGTGCACCCAAGGGACCGCAAGCACCCCCGACTGCACGAGGGAGACGAGATCTGCCCGAAAGATGAGGTCGGAAAGAGCACGTTAAACAAGTGATGGCGATGAGGCCCGACGGGGGAGCGGGACCGTGTCTGAGGAGAAGGGCAGAGCCGGGCAGCCGACGTCAGGAGGCCCGCGCTCCCCAGGCAGGCGCCGCGAGCCCCCGGGACGACAGCGGGCCTGTGTGCACCCGAGGCCATGGACCAAGCCCCGTCTCACCTGCCGCGTGCTCCCGGCACTCAGCGTGGTCGGCAGCCAGGCGCCCAGTCACCTGGGGTTGGGGCTACCCAGCTCAGAAAGTGTCAGCTCGGCTTCCCAGGTGGTCGCGTCAGACGGAGCTCCTAACTCCCACCTTCCTCCCTGGGAAAGTTCCCCGACTGGCCCACACTCAGCGAGGAGCTCCCGGTCCCGCTGAGAGCCTGCACTGGGGCCCGTCTGGAGCACCTGTCTGCCTGCAGGACCCTCGGGGGCAGCACCCCTGGGCGCCCGCTGCCTGGTCTTCCAGCTGCAGCCCCTGCCCGACTGACTAGATGAAGAGCAATCCAACACAGCCGGGGCTGAAGCAGATACAAAGACACACACCGACTGAGCCTCCGGAGGCACGCGTCTGTGGGTCATGAAGGACGCTGGGCGCAGGCGGGCTCCTCGGCTCAGCCGGGCTCCTGCCGGGTCTGCAGCCTGGAAACCCGATCCGCAGGGCTCGGGGAGGCCTCGGAGAGCCTCACCAACTCCCCGAGCCTGTGTCTCCACTCACACAGTGGGGCGGGGTGGGGGCCGGGGGGTGACACGGCAGGAGAGAGCATGGTGGGGTGGGAGGCGCAGGACTCCTGACAGACCCGGAGAGGTTCCCGCGCTCTGAGGGACACGTGATGCCCCAACTGTTAGGGCCACAGAGGCCCCGGCTGACCCCGTCTGCGCCTCCCAGACGCAGAGGCTGAGTTCAGACAGCCTATGCGACTCAACCCAAGCGGCTCCCTTGGAAGACCGGGGTCACAGACGGAGGAGCCCGACCCACCAATCAAGGGTCAGCACCACCCCTGAGCCCAGAACCGCCTCACGGGTAAACACGCGTGAGCAAGTCTGCAGCTGAACCGGCTCTGTCTGCTTGGGTATGCTGCAACCGAAGCGCCAGGTTGACCGTCTCGGCCATTCCACAACCCAGCACGCAAGGAAGGATCCGGGTGTGAAAGGATCTCTCTCTCCAACTGCCCACCGCCTCCAACCCCCACCCCCCACATGGCACGCTCCACCTCCCCAGGTGGGAAGGGAGACGGCCACGCGGCCCCAGCTCTGCACGCTGCAACCAGAGCCAGAACACGGGAGACAGAGGGATCGACTTACTCGAAGGCGTCCGCTTCACGCCCGCCGCCGAGTCAGCCTTTTTCTGCGGCCCGCTCGGAGCCTTGCCTCTGCCTGTAATGCCATTGGAGGCCACGGGGGGCTTCTTGCCCTTCGACTGTGGAAACAAACATGTGGGAGAATAAAAACAAGCAGACAAACACCTGTTTTTGGTTTTTTTGCAGTCAACTGTTCAGTCTCTGACTCTTTCGAATGTAGCACAGACAGAAAAAAAGCACAGGTGTTTGGTAGACACCGGCCTGGCTTCCCAACACTGGACGGCTGTGAACTTCCCAGAGTGGCTGAGAAGGTTCTAGCACCAAGGTTCGGAGCCAACAGGGAACCCTAGGATGTCCTCAGTTGGGAGTGCGCCGAAGTTACCTATTTCTATCGGGAGGTGGCACAGACTGTGGGTTTCCCAGAGCACTGGGCCGAGGTTACCGACAGTCTGGGTGTCCAAGGATAGACAGCTTTTACTGCAGTGGGATGGTCTTCGGGGAAGTAGCAGACCTTGTGCACTGAAGTCTTCAGCTCCCAGGGCTTTATACTGACGTCCTAACTGGGTGAAGAACTACCGTTTGATTCGCTCATGGGGTCTCAGGAAGGAAGCAGAAGCAGCTAAATACAGGAACAGTATGACTGCATTTTAACTCACTACAGGATTTCAGAATAATTCAGTGCATCCCTAATTCTCTGATGGCTGCAAGCCAACCCGGGCTGCATTTTGCACAAGTGATGTGTGTGCACCTTGGCTGGGTCGTGAATCCAGCTAGACAGCCCGGCTCCTCCATACACACGTTTCTTACTGCTGGGAGCCTGGGTTTGTCAGGGGTCGGGGTGGGGGGCTTCAAATTCCCACTCCATCACTTAGGAAGTGTTGAGCATTAATGCTTTCTGAGCCTGCATGCTTCATTTGAAAACGTAAACACACTGATGTCACCCACAGGGCTCCTAAAAAGCTTAAATGACACAGTGCCCACATCTAGGGCGCACATACGGCAGGTGTGTGTTAAGTGTAGCGGGTCCCCACTAAATGGCCAAATGAGGACACGGAAACTGAAGGTAAGTGACCTGCAAATGTCCTTCCCGCTTGAAAGTAACATGAACAAAAACGAAACACAAATGAACCACATGTCAAGTGATTCCAAACTAATCAGGGGATACTCCAAATGGATATGACAGGATATTTTGTCCCATCGTTTTTACCAAAGTGAACTCCAATACCAATAAAAAGACAGGTCAATACCTTCACCTAGTAAGGGAAGCATGTGACCTGTGAGACTTTTTATGTAAGTGCTCATAAATAAGTATTAGGGGCTTCCCTGGTGGCTCAGCTGGTAAAGAATCCGCCTGCCATGTGGGAGACCTGGGTTCGATCCCAGGGTTGGGAAGATCCCCTGGAGAAGGGAGAGGCTACCCACTCCAGTATTGTGGCCTGGAGAATTCCGTGGACTGTACAGTCCATGGGGTGGCAAAGAGTCAGACATGGCTGAGTGACTTTCACGTCACTTTCACTCATCAAAAAACTTTCTATGTAAGTACTTATGTTTGAAGATACACTGGTCTGGGTCCTCAGACTCACTGAATCACCATCTCCAGCTGTTTTTAGAAATAAGACACAAAAATCTTCCTATGTGACTTTGAGAAAAAGAGCAGGTTTGGAAGGACCACTATAAACTATCACACTCTGAAATTCTAGGATCTTACTTGGCATTCATCATTTCCTCAAGATTACCCCAAAAACTAGAGGGAAAATAAAATAATTTAAAATGTGGTCCTGTGCTTTATGTTTGTATTCTTCCAGGTACCGCTTAGATCTTAGTTTAAATGCGTGCAAACACAAAATTAATATTTACACTGAAACGTCACAGTATGCCACAAAGAAGAGGTGTGGGATGGACAATCACTCAATATCAAGTTTACTGACCATTCAGTGATAATCCAAGAGCCGTATTATCCACTCCATTTTAGGGAGTATACTCCTACACTCATGATGGGAGAATACTGTAATCCTTGGACTAATCCTGCTTAAGGTCTGGAAGCAATGGCCAGTGGAGCCCACCCTTCCTCAAGTACATGCAACGAAAACACAGGAAAGGAACTCGCAGCTCAGAAGTCTTCTGAAAACTTACCGCCCCATGCTCTTTAATACTTTGCCTTTAATCACCATAACTCACAAAATTCACTGGGGAAAATCACAAGGATGGAGAGAGAGGTGGGCAGAGGCAGAAGACAAACAGAACGCAACCCTGGGCCAGTAGTTGTTGATTAGTTAGTAAGCTGTATCCGACTCTTTGTGACCCCATGGACTGTAGCCCGCCAGGCTCCCGTCCATGGGATTCTCCAGGCAAGAATACTTGGAGTGGGTTGCCATTTCCTTCTCCAGGGGGATCTTCCTGACCCAGGGATTGAACCCAGGTCTCCCGCATTGCAGGCAGATTCTTGACCTCTGAGTCACTAGGGCAGCCCCGTGAACTAGTCAGGCTGGCACATAACACGGTTTCGCTCCGCGTTTCTCGTGACCATCCCCGGGTGGCCGGACGCCGAGCGCATTTGCAGATCATACCCTAGTTGAGGGGAAGACTGCGCTCTACCCCCGACGGGGCTCACTGCCGGCGAGCTGGCGGACACTCCTATCGCCGCCAGGCCCTGCAGGAGAAGCGTGACAGATTCTAGAAGACGACAGAACGGGGTGCTGTACCTGTGAGCTGAGCCCGAGAGACGCCCTCCCCACAGAAGAGGTGTTAGTGACAGGCGGGGAGGAGGGCAGGCCGGAGGAGGCGGGGTGCTGGTAGCGGTTACGGGGCGGCCTGTCGGGGGACGGCCTAGTAGCCTTCCTGTCGGCGGGGGGGCAGCGAGCAAAGATTCTCGGAGACGGCAAGCTATCGTACAGGGCGGCGTTCTCATAGAGCGCCTCTTCGCCCGGGCCTCGGCCGCGCGGGGCGGGAGCGTCGTCGTCGGGGCCCCACTGGAACACACACAGCGCGTTGTTAGTCGGCGCCCCGGCCGCAGGAAGCAGAGCACATTGAGATGTTATTAGCAAGCCCACCAGAACACGCATGCACGCCCCATGCTGTCGTCAGTAACACGACTAGGTGAACCCACTCCGAACAGCCTTTCTACCTTTGGGGTCTTGAGATATCTTTTTTTCTTAAATTGTTCCCAGGGTCATTGGCTAATATTTTTGTTTTGCTTTGTTTTATTTATTAAAGTGGCGGGGGGAGGAAACCTGACATGTCTTTAAAGAACCAGATTTTGGAAGTCCTCCTGACCCAGGAAGCAGAAACAATGTGATTTAAGGAAAAGGATGCTGAACTGGGGTCCATCCAGAGATCAGGGGCTCCGGTTCTCCTGAGAAAACATGTTAACTTCTTGATCACAGACATGTTAATACGTTCTTCATCACCCGAGCATTGCTGAGGGGGGATGTATCAATATTCACCTACACAACAGATTACCGGTGACAGGCATTGGTTTCCGAAAAAAAATCCCCTGGTCAATAATGAGTTTAAGATCCCAGTGAAGCACTTTATCTTATTCCACAGTAAAACTGATGCACGGTGCAGGGAATTCTGCCAGGAGTCTTACAGAGGAGGGGAAACTAAGGCACGGGGTCAGGAGGAGCTGTATCAAGCAGAGCTGGAGTTAGGAGCCGTGCCCGTAACTAAACGGCCCTCAGCGTCTGCACCTCAGGCTCCCCCAGGCCAGGAGGGGCTGGGCGCAGACTGCCCACCGACCCTTCCAAGCCTGCCATGCGGGCTGCGGGGGTGTGGGCTCTGCGGGTCACATGACTGCCAGCATCACCCGCGTCCCACACTTGGTTAGGCCTGAAGCAAGCACAGCGGCCAAAGTCACAGGCTGTTACAAGAAAGAAGTCAAATCATCATAGAAAATAGGATGCTTCAAACTATAGTTGATACAATGGCATTACTTCAGTGGAAAACCTTTATACAAAGGATGAAAATAGCTACAAGCCACTTTAGAACATGGACATTAAAGTATAAATTAAAACCCAAACTCACAACCATGGCCAGATTCTTTTAAGTTTTAAAGGTCTTTATAAGTTGCTTTGCATTTTAAAAAAAGAGAGAGAGAGAAATTATTAATTCATGTACTATACTTATTTTAGTCTATTTTTATATCCTGGCAGAGTTCCTTTCTGCCAGAATGCAATTACGGCCTTTTGTTATAAAAATAGAAAAGGCTTAAAATTTCACTGTAGGAATGTTTTTGTTCCGCTGCAGTCACTTCAGTGCGTCTATTTTTGTGTGCTGGGGACACATCTATAATCTAAAAATAACAGTACATGCAGATAAACGTGGATGTGAGCGTTTCATAATGACAACCTAGCACATATTTGTCCCGGGTTATTAAGACGGTCTAGACGGGACCATCCTCTTCCTAAAATACCAAAGGATTAGGTCACATGGAAAGCTTGGAAAACAAACTCCACAGCATCTGCAGGTTAAAAGTGCGTGTGCGCCTGTCAGAAGATCGTTTTCAAGATGCACTTTCATCTAGGCCTCAGGGAGAACGTGAAGGGAAAGAATTACTGAAGTTGAAACACTGCTAAAATGTCAGGGATTGTGGCTCAAAAGTATAAACTTTGTCAAGCTGAGGAGTGAAGGCTCCTCCGAAACAGAGGGCCTGGTCACAGAGCCCAGGAAGGGGAACGACAGTCTGAAGAGAGGCCTGAACTCCAAGGAAGCCCTTAACAAGCAAGCGAGTCAGAAGCCCCTGCATGCGGGACGCTCTGGCTGCATCCCTCACGCTGCCTGCCCAGCGATACACACGCAGAAATGCCTCCTCGGTACGGAGTCTGGAGCCGGCAGCTTCTCAGCTCTGGGCCAGTGGGAACTGTATGTGCCCTAAAAAAAGCCCATTCCTGGGGTACCCGAACCTGCATGGCATTAACTGGACCGATGGGACAGGGGACCCAGACGGGCATCTGTGAAGGCCTGGCTTTCTTTACACCGCTCCGCCCACCACGTGCCCTGGGAGAAACCCCTCTGGGGGGATAAGGTTCACAAGGGGGCCTTCGGGCAGTGAGATGGGCAGGGCTGTGTGTTCTCAAAACAGCTGGGGCTGAGGCCAAAGGCTCAGAGGAGCAGAATGTCCCGCACGGATGAGGCGCGGTTGGGTCTATGATGGCAGGGGAGGCACGCCCAAGACTAGCAAGCGGACCCCGAGAGCCGGGCTGCCTGGGAAAGGGCCCAGTGCCTGGCCTGGAACCTGCTCCTGTGGGGGCCACCACGGGCTTTCCCAGAGCTCCTGGCTCCCGCTCTGCAGAGCGGGCAGCTACGGCCACAGCGCACACCAGAGCCCCTCCAGTCCTGGAGACCCCAGCTGAAGGTGGAGTGGGGATGGGGGGCAAGAGGGTAAATGGCTAGGCCTGATGGGTGGGACAGGACTTGTGTCCCGCCCACCCCAGGCCACCCTGGACTTAGGCCGGACTCCCTACTGCTGGGCACTGCAGCTGGGACAGGATCTCCAAGCCTGCCCGCACCCTGACACCCACGACCTAACACAGAGCCTCTTTCATCTCAATCTGCACTTGAATATGGTCTTGCAGGCCAGGCCGGCAGGCCGGCTTCTCCTCCACCGACAGGAGTCCCAGGGACATGGATTCCCAACTACCCTGAGGACGTGGGAATGTGTCTGGAGCTGGCGTTTCAGTCGTTACCCTGCGGCAACGTCTCCCTTCTGATGGAGATTTCAGACTGTGTTTGGTTAATGGTGTTGAAGCGAATGACAAACCGGCTTCTGGTGCCAATGACCCTCGTGTTCACGCGTGGATTAAGGTGAAGGGGGTTTCAAACATGAGAGAGGTGGGGTGCGGTTTTCATCCTGCCTCTCTCGTTTAGGCCGAATGGAGGGGAAGTCACAGGAACATGTGGGCGCCCGTCTTCCAGCACAGCCGACCCCCAGCTCTGCCCGCCACACTCACCGAGCCGCTGATGCAGGGGACATCATCATAGTGAAGGGCCGTCCCGCTGGGGTGCGCATAGCCATTGGAGGTGCTTCCCAAGTAGGGGTTAGTGGACAGAACACGCCGGTTCATGAAGCTGAAAGAGAGGAAGCGGGTTACGACCTCCGGTGGATCACCGCGCCTTCTGGGAGTACCGACAGGTGCTTGGGCTCTGCCCAGGGCTGCGGGTGGAGAAACGTCGAGACCCGGGCAGGATCGGGTGTTCTACAGCCATCAGGGCGGACCCTCACCTGCAGGACGGGACGTCACCTGCTCCTGGGACTGCAGCACAGACCGGGGACAATCCTGCCGGGGACTCGGAGGGCGGGCCCGCACACGCCTGGTGTGCCACAAACAACCCGGCGTTCAGCATTTACAGCAGGGGCTCAGCCTGCTGCTGCCAATAAAACTTCACCGGAACACCTTTACCTGGACCCTTCACTGATAAACTGTCTGTATCTCCTTTTTTTCCACATGCCTTTTTCATGAACCTGGTAATTCTGGAAGGCAGAGACCATCTGGCCTGAAAAACCGAAGTATCTCCGGCTCTTCTCAGGGCAAGTTCATGGACCTTGTTCTATAAGCACCTTAGAACGTCCATCCCACAGCCTTTCTTGAGTTCTGGATGTTTGTTCCCTCCCCTCCGCCCTCCACACCCTGAACTTCTGGGAGCCTGAGGGCGGCCACCCTCAGCCCTCGGGAGGCAGGGCAGGCCATGTCACCCACACGAGTGCTGGTGACCTGCGAGGCTCCGAGCGCCGAGCCCACTCCCCTCACCCCCCCCGCCGCTCTGCACCCCAGGCTCCCAGCGGCTCTCTGCCTGCAGTTCTGAGACCCCTCCTTCCTGATCACCCCAAGTAAACAGCGTCCCCTTCCCCCTCTGCCGTCCCCTGCTCCTTCCTACCACTAATCACCCCCTGACACGTGACACAGTGATGTCTGCCTTCCCCACCGGAACCTCAGCTTCAGGAGGACACGATGGCCTCTGCCAGCTCAACCCATCGTGTGCCGGGGTGACAGCCAGCCGGTAAGAGCTGCTCAACAAATACGACCCGCACGAATGAAGGAAGCAGGGAAGGAAGGAACGTGTGAACGGTCTGCTCATGGTCCAAGTGAAAAACCTCAAGGCCTGGGGAAGAATTACCCTAGAGATTTTCCAATTTTCCCAAATGGAAAAACTAAGATAGCCTGAAATTTAAAACCAAAAAAAAAATTTTTTTTCCAAATTTTGCTTTTTCTTGGGATCTTACATTTCTATGGTAACTAGATGAATGTAAAAAAAAAAAACAGGGCTAATGAGCAAAACCGCGGGCAGGAAGTGGGAAGGGGAGACCTGCCTCAGACACTTGCCACAAAGCTACCCTGGGATTCCTGGCTCCTGAGAGAATGAGAGGAAGGGGCTGTACGGGGTCCAACCGGGGGATAAAGCTGCGTTTCCCACCCTCCCGGCCCGAGCTCGGGAGGGCGGCTTGGGTACAGTGCTGCCCTCTGCTGGGAGAACACAGAACGCAGAGAGAGTCCCACCCGGGACACAGCTATCGCACACAGTAACTCTTCTCCTGATGCAAAAACGCATATGACTGCTCTGTACTTAAGATGCTTTAACATATATTTAGGAAAAGATGCCAGAGACATGGGTTCAAGCCCTGGGTCAGACAGATCCCTTGGAGAAGGAAATGGCAACCCATTCCAGTATTCTGGAAATCCCGTGGACATAGGAACCTGGCGGGCTACAGTCCATGGGATCGCAAGAGAGGCGGACACGACTTGGCGATGAAATAACAGCAACATATAGGAAAAAAAGAATACAAGAAAGACAGATTTGATGTGCTTTCAGATACACATTTAAGGTTTTCTGGTTTGAATACCCCATTTGAGGGTACTTTGGGGGTGAAGGTTTGGTGATGAGAGGCAGGCCATGGGATGACCCCCCAGCCCCACGGGTTGCCAATGCCCATGGGCACTGACACCAGAGCTGTCCCTTGCTCTGAGACAGACGCTCTGCCCGGGGCTGTCTCCTGCCTGGTCTGGGTCCCCAGGTTCCAGCCCCTGCGTGCCGCGCCACCCCCCGGGCACAGATGCCAGCAGGGAGCGAGGACCGTGAGGGGGGTGGGGCAGAAGCTCACTCACTAGGAACAGACACCAGCAGGTCGCTCTGCACCACAGGACCTAACAGGAGGTCACAGACACTCAGGATGTCCTGTCCCAGCTGGAAGAGATCTCGGCCACCAGCCAGGCTGCCCGTCATCTCTCAGGGGGGGACCTGGGCCCCCCGGCTAGGTCTCTGGGATCCAAGACCAAATACAAGGTCCCTCGCCTTTTGGCCAGACCCTCTTCCTGCAGTCGTTTCTTAGCCCCATAGAAACACAGAAATGAGATAAGAGGCCACATGCCACTTGTTAAAACCAAAACAGAAGATACAGAAATATATGTGCATGCTCAGTCGCTTCTGTTGTGTCCAATTCTTTGTGACACCATGGACTGTAGTCCGCCAGGCTCCTCTGTCCATGGGGATTCTGCAGGCAAGAATCCTGGAGGGGGTTGTCATGCCCTCCTCCAGGGATCTTCCTGACCCAGGGATTGAACCCTTGTCTCCTGCATTTGCAGGCAGGTTCTTTAGGATATACATATATATATGTAAAATGCACATAACAGAATGCCACCACCTTAACCACTTTTCAGGGCCCAGTTCTGGGCTCGAGGCACATCAGCTTGTGGCACAGCCCGCACCGCCACCCGTCTCCAGAACTCATCCGCTTCTCACAACGACGTAACACTTTCAAAGGTTCACCTGTGTTTTCAGGAACTGCATTTTAGAGTAAGATCTCCTGGGGACTCAGATGAGAGGCTGGCTGGAGGTGACAGCTTCCCGCCAGTCTGCCTGCCCCCCCTGTGTCCACACTGATCTACAGCTTTCATCGTCACCAGCGCTGCCACAGCTTTGTTACGGGCTCCTACCCAGCGTGACTTGAAAGGAGTTCCAGAAGAAACTTTCAGAACACCTGCCATGTAATATATCATATATATCGGGTCTTATTTTAAAACAGGCCACGGGAAAGCATGCTTCGACTCTTTACTGTTACTAACACTCTTAAACAGACTGCTTTTTCTAGACCTGAGACTCCTATTCTTTCTTCTGGCATCCTCATCCCAAAACATATCACTGCCCTTCTCCTTCAGACATAATCAATGCACAGAAAATTCCCCTAATGACCTCGAAAAGATTGGCTAACTAGCTGCCAGTTACATAAAGGCAGAAATTAATCTTAGATTATTTATTACACTGGCAGGCTAACATATTTTATATTTTGAACACTGTTTCCTTGTTAAATCTCTTCTCTCTTAATTGTTATAGAAGGTTTAACAGAAAGCTAATAAATAAGAATAAACTTTATTGCTAAGTGACATCTCCAATAAAGATTTTAATGGTGCGGCAAAGATTCTCATAGCTATAAACTTGTGCATATTTTTAATAAATCAATTTTCAAAATTGCAATCTATGTTCCTTTTTCGAAAATGTGACCTTCTCATATTTGGTTCAGATGAATATTCCACTCATCTGGGTCCTAGGGGAAATATTTTTAGTCAAGATTTCTCTTAAATATTGTTACCAGTTTGCTTATTATTGTTGAAGTTACATGTAGACTTAGGAGAGGCTTTTAGAAACTAATAACGTCCAAACAGTACAGTTAACAACCATGAACTCCTTTCTTTTATGTCACTGTATATGCGAAGATTTTGCAAAACTGGACTTAAGGATATTATGCTTCTTTAAAAGCTCCTTTAATGTGCTTTATTTACTATACAATTAGGAGACTCACTGTAGTTTACTTACACTTTCCTAATTAGACAGAGTCTTCTTATGGGAAAAAATAACAAGAATGAACAGAACAGTGAGCACGCGATCACTGTCACCCTGGTTTCCAAACAACAGAAGTGAGAGCGTACAGGCAGTCTGTACCTCAGAAACCCTCTGACGTTCCTGGGGATGGTCCGGTGAAGCTGCATAGGATGGCCTCACTTTGTCAAGGCCATTTACCTCCGTTGGGTGGAACATGGTGGCTTGATTCCTAACATGTGCACGCTCAGTCGCTCAGTCGTGTCCAATGCTTTGTGACCCCACAGACTGTAGCCCGCCAGGCTCCTCTCTCCATGGAATTCTCCAGGCAAGGATGCTGGAGTGGGTTGCCATTTCCTTCTCCAGAGGCTCTCCCTGACCCAGAGATCGAACCCAGGTCTCCTGCATCGCGGGCAGATTCTTTACCAGGGAGCCACCAGGGGAGCCCGATTCCTAAACCAGGCCGACGTTATCTTTACTCTGCTGGGTCCCCTGCTGCTGCTGCTGCTACGTCGCTTCAGTCGTGTCCGACTCTGTGCGACCCCATAGACGGCAGCCCACCAGGCTCCGCCGTCCCTGGGATTCTCCAGGCAAGAACAAGGGAGTGGGTTGCCATTTCCTTCTCCAATGCATGCAAGTGAAAAGTGAAAGTGAAGTCGCTCAGTCGTATCCGACTCTTAGCAGCCCCATGGACTGCAGCCCACCAGGCTCCTCCATCCATGGGATTTTCCAGTCAAGAATACTGGAGTGGGGTGCCATTGCCTTCTCCCTAGCCAAGCATTCATCCCACAACCCCATTCAGGACTGCTCCAGTCCCCCACAAACACCACTTGTGTGGAGAAGCTAGATGGTGGTGTTGATGTTAAACAGAACTAGTGCAAACATCTGAGTTTATCTTTGACTTTATCAAAGGATTTCAGAGTCTTCGAGGGCCTGGGTGGGCTTGTCAACAGTTGTTGGTATGTTTATCATCACTTGCTGATCATACAACTCCATCACCTGCTCTTTTTCAATCCGCTTCCCTCGAGTCCCAGTCCAGATTCTCTGAGGATGAGAGAGACAGAAGCAGGAGTCCAGGGATCAGAGCTACAACAGCCCAAAGTTTCAGACATCACGTTACCTAAACTCTGTGTTCTACAAAAAGAAGCTGGACACTGAGAGGTTAGGAAGGACATGTCCCAAACCTTTCTGTTTAGCACCTGCTGCAGCAGGACAGAACCCAGGTCCCTTCCTCCTGGCCCAGTGCTCCTTCCGTCGTAACCTCACAGGCATTACTTTACGCAAAGGACCCAGCCAACTCCGGCCGGGCATGGCCACGTCCACTGGCTCCAGGACTGTGCTGCTGCTTTTGCCTGACCATGGAGAGTGGAGCATGGTGACAAAGGAGGGTGGTCGTGCTGGGGAACACGTGCTCTGCAAAGCTGAAAGTGCCCACTGACTTGCCCGTCACAGAAAAGGGCGCCCAACCCCTGCTCTGCACAGCGCACGGCACGGAACAGAAACCAGGTGCGTTTCCATTTCACAGACGCGTTCCGGCCGACGAGAAGGCCTCCCGAGCTTTGCGTCTCTACACCCTGCAGAGTTACTGAAGACGCCGAAGAGCTTTGGTTTCTGTGGGTGTTCACTATCGAGGCTGACGGTACTTGCAACTGAAACTCAGGAATGTGTTCACCTTTATTCATTCAAAAATATGAGTAAATCCACTGTATTTCAACATATTTTTATCAATGTCAATGATACCTTTTTAAAATTTTTAAAAATGAGAAAAATGGTGCTGTTTGATATGCTTGTAAATCTATTCCATGTCTGGCTCAGTAGAAGACAATGGATTATCAAACTTGCTTCTGCGTTCAATCAGTTGTAATATGTTGTTTCGGTTGAAGTAGGCAAAGAAAATCCAGCCTCCTACAGATATTTAGTTGGAAAAGTGAGGTGTATTTTAACAGCCTTTCCAGGTCATGGAAGATATTCTTTGATACTACACCAAAACTCAATGAGTGGTAATTTCTTAATGATTAGTTGCCATGTAGAATCTGAAACTTTATCAATGAACTTGCTTGCCCGCTTTGACATGAATACCCATTCATTTATATTACTTGTGGGAGGGATCTTTTACCTGTGCGTGACTGAGGCAGACCTTCCAAATGCACACACTTCATGACACAATATCAAAAATCACACTTAATATCACCAACGATGTTCTCACAAAACTCTGAGTACCGGGAAGACATTGGCTCGGAGTGGAAGATAGAATGTTCCTAGAATTTTCAATTCTCAGTGAAAGTTCAACTCCATCGCAGGCAACGAACACTGCCGGCCATCTTCCTCGAGATGAGAGGCTCGCTGGGTTCATTTTTGAAAAAGTGTCTGCAAATGCCTACGTCTGAATAACGACAGTTCATCTGTGAATTGTTCTTTCCGGTAAAAATGAAAAATAAAACGGTGGTGGGATGGGGAGGAGATAGTTGAGTTAGCAACTCAGTCACATAAGAGCATTTCCTCACAACAACACGACAGTTCAGGCAATAAAGAGCTTTGAGTGTCCTGCCCGCTACGTCTCATAAATGTCAAAAAGACATGGAGTCAAGAGAGTTAATAAAAAAGATCCACCATCTGGCCCTTCACAGAAAAAGGAACAATTTCAATGCTTGACCATGGATGTCTCAAGTGAACCCAGCACCTTCTTTTGCTACAAAGGCACGGTGGTGACTGTGGTCGCAGCACTGTGTTAAGTGACCACTTAAGAAGGTACTAAGGTACCTGCAAATTTACCCCCCGGTCCCTGGTTCCTTCTGCATCACTGATGCAAATGCAAAGAACAACAATAATTTCTTAGCGTCATTATGGAAACAGTTTTGACCTTTGGGACTGCCTAAAAAGAGTTTTGAATACCCACAGGTGTCTGTGGACCACACTTTGAGAATTGCTGCATTAATTATCCTGGCCATGATTATCTGAAAGAAATACTCATTGTTTAAATGTTTTTATGCATAACAGCCCTTAAAAAAATCATATTGAAGTTTTAAAAGGATATGATTGATGGCTTTGAAAATGCAGTCCTCACTTATACAATAAGGAGAATTATTTCTGCTTTATAGAACTTTCCCTAATACAGGGGTCAGCAGACTATAGTCCACGGGTCAGATATGGCCCACTGCCTGTGTGTGCAAATAAAGTTTTATTGGCACACAGCCATGTCCATTCATTTATGTGTGTGACCGTAATGGCAGAGCTGAGCAGTTTTAACAGGGAACATTTGGTCTGCAAAGCCAAAAATATTACTGTCATGCCTTTTGCACAAAAAGCTTGCCAACCGCTGTTCTAATACAAAGCACAGATGGTTGAAATGACAAATATTTCACCAGAATCTGCACTAATACAAAAAGGAGAGTCTTTAGTAAGTTTTTCTTTTCTTCTCCCTTTAAGGCTATATACTTACATAAAAAGGAAGAAATTGCAGAAAAAAATGAAGTCGTTTAACTTCAGTGCCGTTCCTCACGGCAGAGGATCTTACCAGAAGGTTTGCTTGGCCGTCTGGATGACGTTTGCCGACATCTCCACGTCTATGTAGTCGTAGTGCAAGGCCCCGGGGTCGGTCGAGGACCCCGTCTCGGCCAGCAAAATCCCAATCCATCTGCCCATGTCTTCAGAAGAAGATGCCTGGTGAGGGCAGAGGCGGAAAGAGCATGTTATGTAAGTAGCAGCATGGTTTTCACATTTTCATAGACGTGTCAGTAAAGAGACAACACGACAGGAAAGGCACGGTAGCACGGGCACGTGCAGATGTAGACGACGAGGATGCAGTCACTGCCTGCGTCACGGGATCAACACCACGTTCACGCTAAGCCTTACTGCAGAAGCTGCATAATGACCATGCCCCAGGAAAGAAAAACCAGAGGTACTAAACGCCTCCCAGTTATTCTGGGGAAAGGCACTAGGGTGTAAGACGTGGAAGCTAATGGGATTATTTAAATCTCAGCCACAGGAAGCTGTTTAGAAAGCCTCCTCACTTTGGCAAATAAAATCTGGGCAGCAGGAGGAGCCCCTCCAACCACAGGTGCCTAACCTGGACAGCGCGTCAGGTCTCGGTCACTGTGGGCACCAATTTTGCTGACCAGGAGCCCTTGTTGTGGTCTCTGACGTGGGCCTGCAATAGCAATTTTATCACCCTGACTAGATGGTACAGTAAATCCACCCACTTCCATTTTCATAGTAGTTGTGTGGATACAGTTGTCGTTGTATTGACAAGCATTGGGCTGCTTTGTGCATGCTATCTTTTTAGGAAGTTTCAAATGCTCCCCAAATGTCATCTGCCCGATTTACAAGTCTGAAATAGATCTTTAAGATTCAGTGCATTAAAATTCTAAGCTGTCCCTGTTATGTGATTCAGAAGATCGATTACATTACTCATAATAGCATTTCAAATGCCTAAATACTTTTGGTATTCAAATATGTGAGTAATGCTTAAAGTTTATGGAAAACAGAGTTATGAGGTACCTGAATGTAAAAAAAATTAATTTTTAAAGTTTTTGTAAAAGTTACAAAATTTTTATATAAAGAAAGATGTGAGAGTTGAGCCTAAACCCTTAAAGAAAACTGGGCTTTCAACACTGTAACCTGGACGAGCTGAACATGGGTCAGAATACAACTAAGCATATATGCCTCGTGGTAGGCACAAAACCTCTTGGGAGGAAGAGTGGTTGAGGGGGGACAAGGTGTCCTCTGTGCGCTGATAGAACTGATCAGCAATACTGTACAAGTGACAGACCGTGCCTGGCCAGTGTCATATGTGGCCATGGGACAGAGGGAAGGGGTCCCAACTGTGCGCCTCACAGAAAGCAGGAATGTAACCAACGTTTGCCAAGTTAATGAACACCTGGGTACTAGAAAAAAATCACAAATAGGTTCTCTTCACTGGTCTTCTGCCCTTCGCCAAACAAAAACCTATGTCAAGAATGTATCTGTGACTGATCCTCTAGCCATGCATTCATCATTATTTAATCTAAGTATTCTTAAAAGCATTTTAACACAATAGATGTTGTGGATACTCTTACACTCTTAACTATTTTCCTCATTGTTCAGAAATTTCCTCAGACTTTTAATAACTATCTCAGTGGTGTTATACTGAATTTAGAATGTTAATTACAATCTTGTGGCTTTTAGTAGATAAATAGGTAGAGATTGGGCTTTCCTGGTGGCTCAGCTGATAAAGAATCTGCCTGCAATGCAAGAGACCTGGGTTTGATCCCTGGGTCGGGAAGATCCCCTGGAGAAGGGAAAGGCTACCCACTCCAGTATTCTGGTCTGGAGAATCCCATGGACTGTATAGTCCACGGGATCACAAAGAGTCTGACATGACTGAGCGACTTTCACTTTCACTTTCAGGTTTGAGATGCGAGTGTATACATGTATGGGCTTCCCTGGTGGCTCAGACAGTAAAGAATCTGCCTGCAATGCAGGAGACCTGGGTTCGATCCCTGGGTCAGGAAGATCCCCTGGAGAAGGAAATGGCAACCCACTCCAGTACTCTTGCCTGGAGAAACCCATGGACAGAGGAGTCTGGCTGGCTGCAGTCCGTGGTGCCACAGAGAGTCGGACACGACTGAGCGGCTAGCACTACTACTGCTATACGTGTACATGTGCATGTACGTGTGTGTAATATGCATGAAAACATGCCTGAACATACGTATGTATAAACACATACATACACACCATTTCCTATGACACCCCAGTAACTCAGGGCACACCTGCCACCCAGATCCTGGCTTCCAAGTACCACCATCCACCAGGAGGAGTCCTCTAGAGCTCTCTGGACGGGGTTGATTCCAGCAGGCCTGGGGCAGGGAAAGTCCAAGATGAGCCTGGAATATCTTGGTGCCTCATGTGAGGAAACAGCTCACAGAACAATGGCAACTGCGGTGTCTTTATTCTGGGACACAGCAGGGGTCACATAGCTTAAGGGCTTTCCGCTGACCAACGCTGTTGATCTGACCAGGACAAATCCTGACAATACAGGATTATACTCACTGATTAAAACAATAATCTCTGAACCCCTGCTGATATACAAACATACATGAATGAATGAATGACTAACCAATTAGATGAGAGGAAGGGAAATCTCCCTGACAGTAGATACCAACTAACAAATATAGAGGGAATAATGGGATTAGGAAGTCGTCATTCAACAACTATTTCAGGCAAGACTCATTCATGAATGCTAAAAGCCAGCGGGTGAAACTGTGAGTGGTAGGATATCTCAGAGAATCTTCCCACATGAAGCTTGTTAAAGACAAACGGGAAGCACAGTAACTCCGCAGTGGGGAAGCCGTGCAGACGCCCCACCCACAGGGTCAGAGCTAACACCACCAGTCGTGGGGCAGACTGGCGGTTGTACTGGCTGACGTGATGTACCGCACACCACACCACTGCTTCCATGAGCCCTGCCAAGCGTGCTGACCTCAGATGCGGATTTCCAGGGAAACAGCAGATACCCCCAGACTGAGGGGTCCTCTACATGATAACTGCTCTGTACCACGCCCCGTATCAATGTCATGAAACCAGATCGGGAGAGCCTAAGAGACTGCAGCCCAAGGCAACATATCACCTAGGGTTTCCTTCTGCTTACAAGGGGCATTCCTGGGGTAACTGGGGGAGTCTGATTAAAATCTGAGAGTCAGATAATTGAATTCCCTTGTTTTGATGATTATGGAGTGGTTTCGGTAAGGGAATGCTCTCGTTCTTTAATAAATTCACCCTGAAGTGTTTAGAGAGAGAGGGGCAACATGTCTGTTTTTTCCTGAAAAAAACATACAGAGAGAAAAAAGAGGCGGGAGATATCACGCAAGAGATACCAAACGTGGTACCTTGTTAGTATTTGGGGGATGTGGGTAAAGGCTATGTGGAATTATGTGTACTGTGTTCACAACTCTTCTGTAATTCTCAAGTTATCTCAAAAGTTAGGATAAAATGATCTTAGCAAGTGTACAGAATACAATTTTACTGCCCGCATCACTGCATTTCCTTAACTGGTTCAGGCAGACTCTGCTTATGCTGGAACGCTGAGCATGGTTAGTTTTCTGAGTGTGTGCGTTTGATTCCACAACTGGAATAGGGAAAACCAATGAAACACAACCACCATCTTTCGGGGACATGAGGCTGCACCTACAGGGCGGGCAGTAGAGACAGGACAGGGTCCTGCTCACCCAGCCCCTCCCTGCCCCTGCCCACGGGGTCTCCTGTCTCCACCCAGCATCCAGGCCAGAGACTCCCTTTCCACCCCTGAACCCAGCGTGTGCCAGCCCACGCCTTCCTGCCCTCGCACTCCCGTCAGACCTGCTGCCAGGCCTCTCAGGTGACACCTGCATTCCGTACCAAGAGTACAATTTTCTCATTTACGTTTTCAGCTTTTTTCCGCTGCCATCTGCCCCGCAGCGTTCAGCCCACGAAAATGCTTACTGAGCACACCGACCCTGGCCCGGTGCTGTTTCACAGACAAATAAAGAAGCCGAGAGAGGAAAACAGATTGGGTTGTGATCAAAGTCTGCAACAGAACCAAGACGGGGGCCCAGACACCCCAGCCCCAGCCAGGCCTGCTTCTCATCTGTGAGGTCAGCCACCAGGGCGGGCTCAGACCTTTGACCTGTGACCTCAAAGCATCCAAACCACTGGGCGAGGAGCTCGTGGGAGGAAGAACTATGACGTTAATCATTTTTTGTCCTCACCAGAAGAAAAAAAAAGCAGTCTCTGAAACAAACTCCTATCTCCTACCAGGACCTTCTAGGTGGGCTAACTGGCCGTTTCCTCCACTGGTCAGCATCAATGCGTGTCAGGAAGCATTCAGTAGGAGGCTTCCCGTGCGCTGTTATGGACCTGTCAGGAAACCTTTGGCCCTTATTAATTCCTGAATATTCAGGAATTAAGAGGAGAGGCACGCCTTTCCCGGGGCTGAGGAATCCAGGCATTTCCTTTGTTAGTTTCTCATTATGGTGGTAAGTACCCTCTTCTCTCTTTAATAGGGATCACCTTGTGATTTTTAAGTTTGGAATTTTAATCTTTACCTTTGCTGAGAATAACTACAGTATATGTGCCCACGCCATGTTGATTAAAACACCTTTGCTCCATCAGAGCGCGAAAGCCGGCTGTGTGACCCAGGGAATATTAGTCTCTTTCCCTCTTTCACTTTCTCATCGTCAACTCCGGACCACCAGGTTCCAGTCCGTTAAAGGACCAATAACTGCGGTCATTTAGAATCTGGCTTTGGATCTGACTGGGCTTCCCTGGTGGCTCAGATGGTAAAGAATCTGCCTGCAATGCAGGAGACCTGGGTTCGATTCCTTGGTTGGGAAGATCCCCTGGAGAAGGGAATGGTAACCCATTCCAGTATTCTTGCCTGGAGAATTCCACAGACAGAGGTGCCTGGTGGGCAATGGTCCACGGGGTCGGAAAGAATTGGACACGACTGAGCAACTAACACACACAGGCTGATAAATTTAGACCACACATTGGCCATTTTACCAAATCCAAAATATCCTGATTTCTATCAATTGTACAACATAAATATACTTACATGTACACTGGAAAAATAAGTATACATATGTGTGTGTCCATATGTATATGTGTGTATACATATGTATACATAGGTGTATCTTTGTAACTTACTCATGATAATGCTAAGTGAAAAAAAAAGACAAAGCAGAAAAAGGTTTGAATTAATAGAGAAGCAGAAAATAAATTAATAATAGCCCATTAACAAAAATTTTAAATTTTAAAAATGAAAGCTTTCAGGGTGTAGTGAAGAAATTAGTTTTAACTGCCTTTCCCTGCAAGTGGGCCCTACCTCCAGCACAGCCACCTCCTGGCCGTTGCGAAGCAGCCGGAAGGTCAGGGGGTGCTTGGAGTCCAGCCCCGGGATGACCTCGCAGCCGCGCAGCGGGATGGAGGCGATGTGCGTCTTCAGGTCGGCCCTGTCCTTGTGCAGCGTGAGCTTGCGGTCCTTGACTCGGCACCAGCGCTCCCGCCAGCGGCTGTTGGAGAGCACGTTCAGGTAGCCTGCAACCAACGAGAGCGGCCGTCAGCCCGCGAGGAGGGACGGGCCGAGGAGGGACTGAGCCAGGCGGCCTGCAACCGACGAGTGCGGCCATCAGCCACCAGGAGGGACACGCCCGAGGAGGGACTGAGCCAGGCAGCCTGCAACCAACGAGAGCGGCCGTCAGCCGCCAGGAGGGACGGGCCGAGGAGGGACTGAGCCAGGCGGCCTGCAACCAACGAGAGCGGCCGTCAGCCCGCCAGGAGGGACGGGCCCGAGGAGGGACTGAGCCAGGCAGCCTGCAACCAACGAGAGCGGCCGTCAGCCCGCCAGGAGGGACACGCCCGAGGAGGGACTGAGCCAGGCGGCCTGCAACCAACGAGAGCGGCCGTCAGCCACCAGGAGGGACACGCCCGAGGAGGGACTGAACCAGGCGGCCTGCAACCAACGAGAGCGGCCGTCAGCCGCCAGGAGGGACGGGCCCGAGGAGGGACTGAGCCAGGCAGCCTGCAACCAACGAGAGCGGCCGTCAGCCCGCCAGGAGGGACACGCCCGAGGAGGGACTGAGCCAGGCGGCCTGCAACCAACGAGAGCGGCCGTCAGCCCGCCAGGAGGGACACGCCCGAGGAGGGACTGAGCCAGGCGGCCTGCAACCGACGAGAGCGGCCGTCAGCCACCAGGAGGGACACGCCCGAGGAGGGACTGAACCAGGCGGCCTGCAACCAACGAGAGCGGCCGTCAGCCGCCAGGAGGGACGTGCCCGAGGAGGGAATGAACCAGGTGGCCTGCAATGAGAGCGGCCCTCAGCCCGACAGGAGGGACGCGCCCGAGGAGGGACTGAACCAGGCGGCCTGCAACCAACGAGAGCGGCCGTCAGCCCGCCAGGAGGGACGCGCCCGAGGAGGGAATGAACCAGGAGGCCTGCAATGAGAGCGGCCCTCAGCCCGACAGGAGGGACGCGCCCGAGGAGGGACTGAACCAGGAGGCCTGCAATGAGAACGGCCGTCAGCCCGACAGGAGGGACGCGCCCGAGGAGGGAATGAACCAGGTGGCCTGCAACCAACAAGAGCGGCCGTCAGCTCCCGGGAAGGGATGTGCCCAAGGAGGGAATGAACCAGGCGGCCTGCAACCGACGAGAGTGGCCGTCAGCCCGACAGGAGGGACGCGCCTGAGGAGGGAATGAACCAGGCGGCCTGCAATGAGAGAACCAGGCGGCCTGCAACGAGAGCGGCCGTCAGCCCCCTGGAAGGGACGCGCCCAAGGCGGCCATGAGGCGGGAACGAACCCGCACGCAGCACAGCTGAGCGCAGGCTCCTGGGGACGAGAGGAGCTACCACGAGTTGACTGCTCCCATCAGCTCTGGGGGCCGGGACAACTCAGACCTCCCTGTAGCCCAACGCTCTGCACCGCATGATGTGGCCGAGCACCAGCTCCCAGAAACGCCTTCGGGACCCCGGAGCTCGACCGGGCGTCTGACAGCTCGCTGAGGCATTGGTGGGTGGAAGGAGAGAGGGGATGAGGACACACAGCTGCCCTCAAAAAGCTGAAGGGGCCTCACCCAGGAAAGGGCCCAAGTTCATTCCAAGTGGCTGCAAAGGACACAGCTAGGGCAAAAGCCCCTGGGCAGCTGATTCTGGCTTCCCATGAAGAATGAAACTATCTGCAAAGGGAAGCTTTCCAAGAAACAGGCAGCCTGGGGAGGTGGTGAGCTCCCCACTGCTGGAAGGATTCCAGCAAATGACGGCAGGTCTTCAGGATGAGACTCCTGCCCAGAGAACAGACACGCCCTTCCTCGGCCCTCTGACGGGAGGATCTGCTGAGGTCTGAAGGCCTGGGTCTGACGCACGTGGAAACCCGCCATCCACATCTCTGGGGCTGTGCTGTATCAGCGTAGCATGGATGGAATGCGGTGGAATTACAAGAAGAGCTGTCGTCATGTTTTAATCTCCTCAAAGACGAGTAACTGATCATTTTCATTTGCCACAAACATACAGTGCATTTTTCTACAAGTAACAAGGAATGAAAAACAGATATCACCGGGTGGCTATGACTTCTAACTCATCCACAGGGCCAGCAAAAGACTGTGCCAGCGAGAGGGAGGCAGCGAGGGGAGCAGCATGCGGAAGGCAGGTCAGGAGGAAGAAGAGTATCAAGGGTTCCTTAGGTTATCCAGCTGCTCTTTCGACTCATACACACACACACACACACACACACGTGCACACACACAGGTCAACAGACATGCACAATCACACACATGCGCAGTTCAAAAAGGAGGCTCCTTCCTTAGTGGCGCAGGGGTTAAGAATCTGCCTGCCAGTGCAGGGGACATGGGTTCATTCCCTGGTCCGGGAAGACTCCACAGGCCCCAGGGCGGCTGAGCCCGTGTGCCATGATCGCTGAGCCTGCGCTCCAGAGCCTGCGAACTGCAACTGGTGAGACCACGTGCTGCAACTACCGAAACCTGAGCGCCCAGAGCCCATGCTCTGCAACGGGAGGCGGTGTTCTCATGCAACACCGCCACGAGAAGCCCGTGCGCAGCAATGACGGGCAGTCCCTGCCCGCCGCAACCAGAGAACCTGCACAAAGCAATGAAGGCCTAGTGCAGCCAAAAAAACAAACAAGGGGATTTTAAACAAATACATCCATTCTGACCCCTGTTTTTTTTTTTTTAATGTCTTCCTAAAGGCAATTTGGACCATGCTTTTTGCTTCTTTTCTCTTTGACACCTCACACACTTTGTCAGCAATGGATCAACACGATAAAGGCAAAAACCAAATGAAAATTAAAAGACCAAACGTATTTTCAGGGCCCAGAATGGTGCTTCCTCTTTTCTGTATAAATATGACTATAAATAATTGCTCAAAGAGTTTACTAGGGAAACACATAACAGTACTTAAATGTTCACATTCCTGAATGTGACGTCAGTTCTCCCAATATATCACCCCAAAAGGCACCTGGAACTGAAACCTCAGTTTTGCGACACAAGCTGCTGTATCTGTAAAATTACAGAGAAAATGGAGAAGCAAGTCCCCTGTGTCTCACACACTGAAGGTGCGTGCAGGCAGGCTGGGGGACCAAGTTCACAAGGGCGAGGAGGGAGGTCACACCCTGATCCATGAGCCCTGTTCACAACCTCCCAGCAGAGACCCACCTGAAGTTCTTCAGAGAGCAAAAGATGGCAGAGAAAGAGCTGCGGTTTTCATTTGGGAAACAGTATTTGTAAGTGTCACAGTTCTGACACACATTCTTTTGTAAGCTCTCCTTAAAAAATACAGTCAAATATAATACCCGAACATCCAAGGAATGGCTGTTAGAACTATTTACTGTCTCCGACTTTGGTATCACCTGTAAGTCATCAATCACACTGAAGGCCTGTCTTTGGACTTACATGGAAACAGCTGCCAACCGGATCCAGGGTGTGTACATTCCGGGTGTGAATGGATACACAGGACGGCCGATGGACAGCAGAACAGGGTGTACGATTAAGAAGAAAAAAGCCGAAGCCGGGGGTGGCTCTCAACTACCTGAGCCTGCGTTGGGCACACGTCTGTAAGGGCTCTGGGGCACAGGGCACGGGTGGGCATGATCACTGGGGCTGGCAGAGAGGAGGCTCATGTGTACCCGGGGCAAGTCCTCACCTGGGCCTTGAGAAGTGCGGGGAGCTCTTCAGGCCAGGGGAAGCGGGGAGCACGGAAAACTAACACTTGGCATGTCTAGGAGCTTGGTCATAGGAAACCTCAGACGCTACTGTAGGGACCTGGCCTTGATACCGAAGACGGTGGGGAGGGACAGTGAGGGAGGAGATGCTGAAATGTTTCTGGAGGACTTGGAGCAAGTCTGCCTTGTCAGGAGCACCGACGGGATTCCTCTGGACTTCCGCAGGACTTCCAGATTTCAGAATCACCACGTGGGCACACCTGTCCCCGGTGCAGGGCTGGGGAGGTGTGTGTGTGGGGTGTGTCACAGCTTCTGAGCACGGCCTGGCCAGCCAAGAGAACGACCCAAATCCTGGAGAGGCGAAGGGGCCCGCCAGCTTTTCTTCCCTGACCGAGTCACCAAATGCTGTGAATTTCTCAACATGCGAGTCACAGGAGGAGTGATTACACTGGACAGATTCACACTTTATTTAGAGCATGACTTCACAGGCAATTACCATATTTTAACGCCTTCCTCATATTTAGGTACAGTGCCCAAAAGGGAAAAGAGAAATGAGAACCAAAGCGGGTAAGAGGCCTGTCTCTGTAAACAGCAAACGCCACGGAAACAAGCCCACATCTGGCTCGTGGCTTCCCCTGCCAGGCTCACCGGCCGCTCCCAAGAGGTGGCCCACATTCCTACTTCCTGGGCAGGGAGAGGCCATGCAAGGACACAGCAGGCGGCCCATCTGAGGCCTCCGGAGCCAGGGGCAGGCCCCATGGCCCCTAGAAGTCTTCTTCCCACTCCCCCCTCCACCACACACACACACACACACACACACACACACACACACAGAGGCAGAGACAGACACACACACACAGACACACACACACACACACACGGCCAGTCTGTGATGGGATCACTGCCACCCCCAACTCCACCACACACACACACACACACACACACACAGAGGCAGAGACAGACACATACACATAGACACACACACACACACACACACACGGCACATGCACACACACACAGATACACACAGACAGACAGACAGAAAGACACACACACGGCCAGTCTGTGATGGGATCACTGCCACCCCCCACTCCACCACACACACACACACAAACACACACAGAGGCAGAGACAGACACATACACATAGACACACACACACACACACACACACGGCACATGCACACACACACAGAGATACACATAGACAGACAGACACACACAGACCCACACAGACACACACACACGGCACATGCACACACACACAGATATACACAGGCAGACAGACAGACAGACAGACACACACACACACACGGCCAGTCTGTGATGGGATCACTGCCACCCCCCACTCCACCACACACACACAC